TCAACATAGAGCGGTGACAACGAGGAATAAACACATCGCATTGAAGTATATTAGTGTAGTGTGGACTCTTAGAGAAAATGCATTTTTAAAATATAATGTAACTTACTTCTTTTGATGAGACTGGTCTTCTTAAGTTTGCTGTGGATGGCGTGTCCATTCTGGGCCAGTCTCAAAGACAATGAAGCACCCCTCCTGAAATGATGTGTTAAGTGTGTTCATTACTTATTGGTCCTTTTTGAATGTAGAGTAGATGATTGTATTTTGCCTATTTGTGGCACAAACAGATAAACAGTGCTGTGCAAAAGTCTTTCTGAAAGCCTGGACAACAAAGTGTTTCTTTGAACCCTTGCTGCTTTTTTGCTCATTTTAAGAGGAACATTTGGTAAGCCACCCAACACTGTGGCCTTTAAATGATTTGAGCATTAAGAAAAGAAAAAAGAAAAAGTAAACTACTTTCTGTATGAAAGACCAGTTTTACGTTTTATCTTTAATCCCCTATTATGAGCAGCCTGTTGCCTGTTTATGTTTTCCCATTTCTTTTGCTGAATCTATGAAAAATGCCAAAGATAACAGTTTAACAGGCATAATAATATTTTTGCATCAACAAGGTGATTCCTAAAGAGCTATGAACTTAACACTTAGCATATTTCAGCATGGAGTGCAGTGTGTCCTCAAAAGACTTTGGGCAAACTGGGCAAGAAGAGTACAAAAGAAGTAGCAGGCAAAATCTGTGGCGACAAGGTCTTATGAGGATGAAACTTCTGGTGCCGTCATGGTTTGAGGTTCCATTTCAAGCCAAGCCAACTTATATTAAAAATAAATAAATAAATAAACAAAGCTTAACAGAGGAAACGGAAAAAGGAGTTTCAGCCAGAGGTACTGGGGATCTTGTCATGACTGATGAGTACTGTTAAGATTTTGATCCACCACCATGCAATGCCATCTGCAAGGCATCCAACTGAAGATGGCCAATCAGCATGACAATAATCCCAATGTCACTGCTAATACAGTAAAAGGATACCTGGATAGAAAACCGCAGTCAGTAATGAACAGGCTGCCTCAAAGCAGATTACTGAAGCAGTGTGGGATCATCTCGACAGAACAAAAAGACAGCAAACTTCCCAAGAAGAGTGCTGAATGACCTTCAAGAAGCCTGGAGAACTATTCCTGAAGACCATTTAAAGAAGTGACAAGGAAGCTGCCTAAGAGTTCACGCTGCATTCAAAATGATAAGTGGTCGTTCCAAATATTGATTTTGAAATTTGTAAGAATTGTGCAAACTCTGTTTTTGCCTTATTTCCTGCATTTCCAGGTATGTTTGCATATGTTTCAACAAACTGCTGCACTTGTTTTCCTAGCAAAATACATGAAAGGAAAGGAAAAAGAAATGGGTTGTGGCTCAAGACTTTTTCACATTACTATACAGTCACCATGCTACTTCTTAATTTAACAAATTACATTGTTTAATGGTGACGTAATAATTTTTTTACTGTTAAAATTCTGTCCACTAAAACTTTTTACGCCACAATTAATTGACTGTGTTTTATGTTTCGATACCTCATTGCTCCGAGCTTTCCCTTCTCCATGAACAGCTCGACTGTAACTTTGCCTTCCTGTGGGTACAGCCTAGCATAGAGGGTCCTGTTGTGTACAGTCGCTTTGAACCAGCCGACTGCCTCCTCAGACCAATCTCTCCCATTCACAGGCATCACCTAAGGGGTAGGAAATACACACAAAATACCATGAACTGAGATAATTCATTTCCTTTTCTCACCAAGTAACAGATAACGCTGTGACTAATAGTGGACAAATGCAAATAATTAAGCCCACACTCTCACAGCACAGCTTTTTAACATTTCCATGTATGCAAACTCTGGCAGGGACAGTCTGTATGACTCTCTCTGAATATTTTTAAGTGTCCGTGCAGGTGGACTGTAAATCCACTTACATTAGCCAGTGAAACCTGCACAGCCTGAAGTGGTATAGTAGCCATTTCAGGGGTCAGCTCCTTTATATTTGACAGTGACAGACAGGCAGTGTCACCATAGTCCAACCTTTTCACTTCCACCTTGATGGATGTCTCTGTCCCAGCACCATCTTACATCCAAAAGACAGAGAGCATACAAAGCAAGACTAAAAATCCAGTGTGATATTCCCAAGTGGCTACCAGGAAAACAAAGTGACACTGCTACCATCTAGAGGCATACATCTGCAAAAACATTTCAACACAAGGACAGAACCCACCTCTGCTCACGCCACATATCTTTATCACCTGGCTCCTGCACCATTGTTCTCGCTCGGCGACCCAACCCATTACTACGGTTCCAATATCTGGAATGCAGTTCTGCTCAGCATATGAACTACTGGCTTTCCAGCTGTGCCAAATGAAAATAATAATGATGATGACCAGAAACACGTGGGTTATTAAAAAAGAAAAAAAAATCTACAAAGAAAACGGTTATGAATAAAAGGCATAAATGGCTCTTTAAGTTCTGAAAATGTCATCAGTGAATCAGCGGGAAAATCTGAGAAAAAGCAGACTTAAGTTTAGCCTCAGCAATGAATGACTTACTCTGTGGCAAAGGCCTGTAGCTTCTCATGGGAGTCTGCCTGCTGGATGTAGAAGTTGCTCGGACTCACAATGTGAGACACCACAACCTCAGTCTCTTCAAATCTTCGAATTTGGAAATCGGGAATCTTTAAACTGTTGGTTGTTGCCATTTTCGCACCATCAGAACTGTTATCACGTTCAGGCTCTGCGCACTTGGGACTTTTGGGTTTCCAGTGGATATTCACACCCACGATCTCTGGCTGAGTAGTTATATTTTGGCAGTCTTCACTTCCCAAGGGACCAGGATCAGAGACCCTCTCCACTACCTCTGCGAAGATGTCTCCAATATCCCAGAGTTCAGTTTGTGTTGCAATCACGCAACTATAGATGAGAGAGCCACTTGACTCGGCTTTTTTCACTCTGAAGACTGGGGCTCGGGTTTCAAACTTTGCATTCAAAGTTTTTGGAGCAAGAACTTCTACCAGATCGGTGACAACGTGACTGAACTGGTCTTTTTGTGGTGTAATGGTAGGTGACACAGGCTGCTGTAAATCTGAACTGTATGCACGTTTAGCCCACTCCATGGCCGTGACCTCCAGTGAACCCATGTTTTTAACTTTTGCTCTGAGGAAGTGCAGCAGCTGGGAGGATGTTTGTTTTTGGTGTTGCACCTTGACATCATCTTCACATCCCCAGTGTAATAGTGGTGTGGTGTTCATGGGTTTTGGGTTACTGAGCTCGGGGAAAACAGCTTTTAAGGGAGGTAAAAGTATTTGAGGCCTCTCTGCACTTCTGTCACGGCTCTCATCAGTGACAGGTGGAAAAATCCCAGCATCCACTTGGCTCTTCTCCTCAAAATCAACCTGCTTTTCTTCAACCTTAAAATCACAACTTGAAGTCAAAACAGTGCTGGTGAGGCTTGAAGAACGCCTGCATATCATGTTGCCCTGATAGCCTGCCGCAGGCTTCGAGGTGAGGAAGCGTTGTAGCTGCTGAAGAGACACCGTGGCTCCCAGTACCTGGATTGCTTTTGCTATTGAGCTCGCCATCAGCGAGTTCTTTAACATGGGCCCAAACTTAAAAACATCTGTAATCTGAATCTCTTTGACGCCAAGCTGCTGTATCTGATTTCCGCTGACTCCATTTTTAACCTTAGGAAGAAGACAAACCTGCGGGTCTGACAGGGAAAGCAGGCAGCAGAGGTTTATTAATACAGTTACTTATCCATCTGTAGCTATACGATTAATTTATAACTTACCAGCTGTGAGGTCCTTTAATGAAGCTGAAAGCTTTGCGACTGTTTGACATTTCACATCTAAAGCTTTTGAGAGATCGCTGAACAAGCTCCTGGGACAAGATGAATTCAGGTAACCTTGGACATCTTTATAGGCCTGGTTGTAAAAAAGGGGGAAATTTGTGTGATTTATTTAAAAATACACATACATTGTGTTTATTAGTTCAGAGGAAACCAATTTTGGCAGTCAGCTGATATTTCACGTTTTTGTAATGAGGAACACACTGTACCTTTTTCCATTGGTCTTAGCAATATCAGCTAATGTAACTAAATGCATTAATTAGTCGCTCGCTTGCCAGCTAGCTTTACCTTGATGGTGAAGTTGCGAAGGTCTTGTTCAAGTTTATTCCGGGCATTTTCCAGCAAGAACAGCTGGTAAGTTAACTGCACTTTCTGGGAGATCATGGAGGGCGCCGACTGGAGGGTGACAGCCAGCTGGTGAGGAGCCATGGCGTGCGTGACCCCTGCCAGTATGACTGGTGGCTAGTTAGCGGCTAGTTAGCTAGCCAATTAGCGTTATTATTCCTGACTTTGACGGTCCTTTTCTTTTCATAGATTTTCTTGGGGGTTCCGCAAATTACCATAGTGGAACGATTCCTTTTAGTCTACTTTTTGACCTCGGTTTCTTCTTTAAAAAGCCGGTTGTCATAAAAATGTATCCCACTACTTTTTCCACCAAGGCCAGGCCGCCATATTGAGAAGAGGCCCCAGCCAGTAGAGGTGGGCGGAATGGATCGAAAAATAAACCTCAAATATGCACTATGAAGAAAGTCCAAACCTTTTTGTGTGGTTTAGAGACAGAAAAACTTGCATTCCAAGTCTCCAAAGACTCCGTTTCAAAAGACCTGAAAAGCTGAAAGTGGTGTTTTGTTGCGTTAACTGATTATTGTGGAAAGTAATCAGTGATATAGTAGTGATTAAAACGATAATTCATGGCATACTACTCTTCCCCCAATTAGCTACCCGAATAACAAATAGTAACCAATCCTGGCCCTGCATTTACTTGGTATTGGATCGATACCAATATTTGTAGTGTGGAACAGCATTACTGTGAATGAGGGAAATGTGAATGTTGATTTTTTTTGTTGAAATGTTCAGGCAAGTATATACATGTTAAATGACAAGATATATAAAATTACGTTTTTGTACAAAGTATTGGTGTCGGATTAGTATCATGATACCACCCTGAATTTTGAAATTTTTTAGTTTTGTTTTGTTTTTTTTACACCTGGAGCTAAATGTGCCTGTCTCTAAAGTACTTTGCGTCTACATCTGTTTTTAAAATGATAAAAAAAAAAATAGATTTCAGACATCTTTCATAGTGCATGTTTGATTATTATTTTCATTTCCAATTAAATTAACAATTAAAAGAATTTAGAACCTTTTTTTTTTTATCAGACAGCATTTGACAGTCTAGAGCAAGGATGTCAAGCTCATTTGACAGCCCACTTTGATCCATAAGAAGTTTAACCATCCATTGAATTTCTCAGATATCTTCATATAACAAAAAAGAAGTACCTTTTAAGCAGTATGTCTCGGTTTTTCTACACGATAAAGAAATGCTGCTGTATTAAATGGAAGAAATCTGTCCATATTGTAAGTACTGGATGTAACAGACTATGACTTTCTAACTGTGGACCCTCTTTAAAAAGATAGAAGTTTCAGTTGTAGATATTGCATTTAACTGTTTATCTATTATTTAGTTACTTTGGTGTGTTATGAATGGTTACGAAGGAGGTCCTTATCAGTAGGAAAAGCTGTCAACCTTATAGAAAATACAGTTAAAAGTCCCAAATTTATGCCCTTTTTCTCAATTTTTTTCCAAGTCTGTCTAGTTGGACAGAATGGAGTCTTTGGCGGTCTGATTCTGGCCCAGGGGCCATGTGTTTGGCACCCCTGGTGTAGAGGTAGAAACAGAAAGTCGTGCAACTTTGCATGCAAGCTGTTGCTAATGTCTAAATGCCAGTAACTATCAACACCAAGAAGAAGAATGAATACAATTTACTTGTTGCATTCCTATGGTTTGACACCTAATGCTATCCACACAGTGTTCTTTTCTTCAAGTGCTCTTTGCTTGAACTTGTCAAGCTGCTACTTGATCTAGAAGCTGAAACGTGTGGGTGGGGCAATACAGACATTTTACTAAAGTTAATATTGCTCAAGAGTTAGATTGATAGGCAGTTTTGCTGTACCCGTGATAATGCTGACATCACATATACTGGTTCCAGTTGCAAAACGGCACTTTGCATCAGTTTCAAGAAGAGGGATTTGCCAATAGGAAGACAGCAAGAAAGATTGCTCAATGGCATATCTTTTTTTTCTTTTGGTGTACATCCAGAGGTACTTGCTTACAATTTCAAATATCTTTTCATGCCATTGCCAGTGGATCAGTATTGTAGGATGCAAGTCAAAGTTTAATGTTGTGTTGCTTAGTTTCACAATCTTAATGGATGACCTTCTCTGATCATGACCTTACAGTTAGGATTCTATGACTTGGTGGCATTTCAACTATAATTGTTCACCTTCCCACCTCATTGATTTATTTTGTAGATACTGAAATGCGGGGAATGGTATTCTTAAATAAAGAACTGCACGATATCGTGGTTATTCAGTGCGACATGTTTATTATGTAAACCATACACCGTTGCAACATCTGACCACAGTCTCCAGGGTCAGAGCCACACATTATATATTACAGAACAGGCTGGTATAATGACATTTCTTGTATAAAGACAAAATAAGCCATTCTTATTTAAAAATATATACAAATCAATATGTTTAAACAAAAGCTCTCTTACAAGGGTCTATATGGCAATTGTGTTGAATTATTCAGGAGTCCAGTCGTGACTCTTGGAATGTTCTGCAAGGCTTCATAGACGTCATAAAAATGTAATCCATTGGCTAAAGCTTTTAGTTTCAAAACAAACATTCACGATGAAGAATGGATACGAACTCTTGTGATTCTTGATTTGACGTGCACTGTAACCAAACCACTTGGGAATCAGTAATGCCAATTTCCAGTTTAAGATTTTAGCTGCAGAGGTCACGAAAAGTTTGCAGGTATGTCCTGTAAGACTGTAATGTGCAATAACCAAAATCTTCACTTTTCCACCAAGTTTATGGCATGCTTACTTTACATAGCCCATGTGCACGTCTAAAATTATCTAAAAAAAAAAACTGTAAAAGACTGATTTGAGACTTCACACCATAACAGATCTCTGTGTGCAGCACAGCTTCCTGCTGAACATGATGAAAACTGCTAACAAAACAATTGCAAATAAGACAATTATCATCATTTGTCCAAAATGAACTTCCTGTGCCTTTGTGCGCAATGAACAGTACAATGAAGGGTTCATCAGATATTCTGTCACCGTAAGGTTTCTAACTCTCGTAAAGCATTCTGCCTCACTGATATCGGGCACTGTAATCTCCGTCTCATTTAAGACCATCAACCATCTGTTGTCACAGCAGTTGAAAGGATTCCCGCTTATATGCATGACGGTAAGGTTTGTGGATAAAGCGCGAATCAACGAAGGGTTTAAAGTTATAAAAACATTATGTCTTATGTCAATTTCTCTCAGGGGAGAACAACTTAAACTTCTGGGAATTGTATCCAGCAGGTTGTTCGATACGTTCAGGTGGGTTAATGCCGGCATGCACGGTAGAGACAACAGACGAGAGCTGGTTAAGTTGATCTCACTGATAATTAAGGACTGTAGAGTTGTTTGCACAACTTCTAGCGCCCCCTCTTGCATGACCAGTGATGGATTTTTTGCAAGGCTGAGGGAAACCAAAGAAGTCCCCTGAAATGTGTTAGGCTGAAGCATTTTTATGCCATTTCCTTTAAGATTGAGGTGTTTTAGAGTCCCTAAGTAGGCGAATTCAACACAAAGGTCATCAAGATTTGTTTGCTGTGTTGAGTTAATGCTTCCTAAGTGATCAGCAGAAGTGCAAGGTTGGACTGAGTTGTCTTGCAGATTTAGTCTTTCTATTTGTGCGAGTGCACTGAGAAAAGTTGGGGAAATATATACCAGCCTGTTGCTTTGCAGGTCAAGGTGCTTTAGGGAGCGGAAGAAAAGCTGGCGAAGGGGTCCTGAGTCAGAGTCATTTCTCACATCCCAGATGATGCTTTGTAGACAGTTATAGCTGAGATTCAGAGTTTCTAAAGACAGCAATAGGCTTAAAGTCTCGATTGGGAAAGACCTGAAGTGGTTGTAGCTCAGGTCAATATAAATCAGTGGCATGGGCCTCCAGTTTGAGTGTAGGTTGTTTTTTATTGCAATTTTTTCACCTACAATCTCACTATAAAGAGAATTTGTCTCTGACACCAAAGCAGCCTCTGAATAGGAACCGATCATGTTATTCTGCAAATAAAGATACCGCAAACGGTTCATTTTCGGAACGATTGGAAAGTAAAGAAGTTTGTTGTGGCTGAGATCAAGAACTTCAAGCCTGTACAGCCTGCTGTCCTCATGTGTGACAAAAAACTCTACGGAGTTTCTGCTCAGATTTAGAAATTTCACTTGACGCAATTTAAAATCACAAATGTGCGCAAGATTGTTTTTAGCCAAGTTTAACACCTCTAATTGGATCAGTGATTCGAACGTCCCTTCTTCGATCTCAGATATCAGATTGTCGTCAATAGCAATGGCCCTCAGGCTTTTACTCTCTGTGAATAATTTGTGTGAAAGTCTTGTTAAAGCATTACCGGTCATCTTGAGCTGATCGAGGGCGGATTTGTTTCTAAGGTAGTGCTCGGCTGCAAAGTCACTCAGGCCGTTCATTGATATGTCCAAATCCTTCAGCCCGCTGAGGGATTGGAGGGCTTTGCTGTTATTGCCAAGGTTGTTGTTTAGTTCGTTTCTGGACAAATTCAGCTGCTCAAGTCGAACCAGGTTTTCAAACAGCCCCTCGGAGATGAGATCCAGCTGGTTGTTGCTCAAGTCCAGCTGCTCCAAGTAAGGCAGCTCAAGCGTGTGCAGCTGTTTGATGAAGTTATTGGACAGGTCCAGTCTTCTGATCCTTATATCCAAATCCACAGGGATAGAAGAGAGATTCCGATTGTTCCAGGACTGCTCCTTGAAATTAAAGGAACACAGTGTGAGCCTCAGAGATGGGGCACTTTTAAAAAATATCAAAACCAGCAATTCTGTAGGCTTAAGAAATAAACAAATAGTGCAAATTTAAAAACATTTAGCATTTATATTGATCATGTTGAACCTACCCTCGAAGCATAATACGTCAGTCCTGTTACGCAAAGGTCATGGCTGAGTGACCAGAGTAGTAGGAAGTTGGAGAACATATGTCTGACCATTCTCCCTCTGCTGCTGCTGCTAAACTGTACCACTGCTGTTGTCAGAGCTCGTATGCACTCACACACACACACCAACACCCTCTTATAGCCATGCTTCATCAAAAAAAAGGGAGAGAGAAAACAGCTGTGGCCACCAGATAGGGAAGGTGGATACTATATTTAGACAATAAAGACATGACCACGTAGACCGCCTCTTTCTGTCAAGCTTTAGGTCACATGTAAGCGAAAACCTTATAATTTGTAAAAAAAAAAAAAAAAAAAAGGTTTGTAGACAAACATATTGTGTTTTTAGTGCTAAGTGAAGCCACTTTTAGAGATAAATGCATTTAGAATTTGCTAGCACTTTAAATACAAGTTGAGAAATAATTTGCTCCGACACAGTATCCCATTTATAACAACTTTAATTAGATGATGATACATTATTTATTGTGGTGTTCAAGAACCTTCCTGGGAGATAAATTTATACATTTGTTTGTTCCTGACAAAGTCTCTGGAAACGGAAAGCGTTTTAAAATAGACAAGAGGAACAAATAAGCAGACAGCGCGTAGGTGGAACAGGAGGGAAGCCCCCAGCAAGGTATAAAGGAACACGCCTAAAATAGACTGATGAAAGGAGGTGCTGGCACATGAGTACAAATGTTTGGGAGTCAGCCCAGGACATGCACCCAAATTCTACATTTTAAAGCTAATATATATTTGAAAAAAATGTATTTGCCTGGCAGGAAAAATAGTTTTCCTGCTGCTGCCACTCTGCTTTATATCTGCACAGCCCTCACGCTGCTCAGTGTCAGTTTCCCACTTCCAGCAACAGTCAGCTGCATCCTTATCATCCTCCTACTGTCTTGTTTCAGTTCAGCTGTATGACACCAAAGAAGGTTGAGTCTTCATCTGTAGATATCAGGGCTGTGGGCCTGTCTGGGATCACCAGTTCTAGCTCGTCATCCTGAAGCAACTGCACTGTGCCTGCAACAGAGGACAAACGCTGTCAGAAAGTGTAAATGTATTTAAACGTACAGTACATGTTTGCTATACACAAAAGCCTTTTTACTATTGGTGCTACTTTTGGATTGTTTTTTCTGCTAATGGACTTGTATGTTGTCGGATATCCTGGATATTATGGCCATTTCATGGTTTTTATGAGGGGTGGCCCCCCCTCTAGGAAGTTGGCTTGATGGGTTTGTTTCAGATGAGGGGCACTGCCCAGGGCAGAAAAATGGAGCCAGTGCAGAAATACCAAAAACTGCAGTTTGTCTAATGGATGCTTGAGGCTGGCACCAAAACCAGGTCAAATACTCTATAGTACAGTATAGTACTACAGTTAAAAGGCCTGTGCAGCATTAACAAGCATGTTTATAGCCTGGCACAAAAGAAAGATTTGGGAATTTATCGATAAGCTAGTGAATGGTAGCTGAATTTTCTTTTTTCTTTTTTAAATGGAGGCTGGTGATATTTAAAACTCAGGGTGTGCCCAGCTTGACAGGTGTCCCAACACAGGAAGTTACAGTTGACTGCACTTGCGGTGTTAGGGCCTTTTGGAGCGTTTATAAACTGAATTATATGAAAAAGTATAATTTGCTGACTTGTTTGAATTACTACAGTTCCTGAGATTCATTAGCCTCTTATTTACCACCAGTAAGTAGATACCCTTTGCAGAAAGCTAAGCAAGCTCCAGTTATGGTTATGTCTGGTTCCAAAAGTGCAAAATAGCAGCTCTCAAAATGCTTCACACTATTGGCCGACACAGGCTTAAAACCTGGAATAAACTGTGTAGCTGCATAAAGGCCCCGATATAAGATGAACAGGGATTATTTTGAACTGTAAATTATTGCAAAGCTACTTTAGTATAGTGTCTAAGAATAAAAATGTGGAACTAGAAATCAGCACGAGAGATCCACTTTCAAGGAACAGTGTAACATTTTCAAAAATATGCCTATTTGACCTCGATAAGTAGAGGAAGGAACAGCGCTGTGTATTACAGAGAGCGCCTGTATCCAAAAGCAAAAAAACCTCCACAGCAGCAGTCTCTCACTGACCTGCAGTGTAGCATGTGTTGGCAGGATATCTATCGGGCATCGCTTGCAGGCAGCGCAACAGCTCGGCTTCAGCTGAGGCCCTACTTCGAACGACATGACCCATAACTATGCTTGGGCTTTCAAACAAAACCTGCAAATTAAGCAGAACATTACCTAACTGGTTGGAACAAATCATATGCATGATCAATTTAGTTCTGCTCGAGTTAGAGTGACACAATACTTGTCCAAACACCAAGTAATAACCGTCTTCTTGGACAACAATTCTGTTTTCCTTTTGTGAAATTGCATTTCCTCGCTGTGCAGAAACAATCCAAGAGATCACAGTTATATTTCCTGTGAGAAAAAGGCAAGATACGCTTCATCAAAATAATGGCAGACGGTACAGCCAACGACTTGGATTTAGTTTTACCTCTTATGTCTGGCCGTTTGTTAGTGTCAGCCCTTAACTGCAGAAATGCTGTTGAAGCTGGCAAGAGAAGGAAATAAACACTTGACTTTCATTTTTTTTATTAACTTAGCATATACTGTTTGTGCTGTCATTACCAGATTAGACTGGAACTAACAAGATATTTTCAGTTCTCAGCTCTGACCCACCTCTAGAACTGCCTGGGTCCCTTTTGACTCTCCTAGAAGATATCTTCAGAGAACTGTGAGCTTCCTGGAAGACTCTTGACTTAATGTCCTATGAGAAAAACAAAGCCTTGCGATAAAATTTATTATTGCAGCGCTATCTGAACAACTCACTAATGGTATAAATCTCAGTAGTACAATGTCCAAGATGACTCCATCCTGTATAATCAGTGACATACCTCGCTTGTTTTAAGCATCTTGGCCAATTTCCCATCGACTCCCTCAGAACATGGTTGATTTAATTGTAGAATTATGTCTCCTTGGAGTTTGCGAAAATCATTTTCTAAAACCCTGGCTCTGTGCACCAGGAAAAGACTGAGACAAAACATGAACGCTGTGAGTGATAATAACGCATTATAGAGCATTTTGAGACTAACAAGCTGTCCCCCCCCAGTCCCCAAGTTACTCAAACGAGTGAAGTCACACATCGGTACACTCCGGAAACCCAAGCGTTCAGTTTCAAAATTAGTTCCTCATTTTAAAAACTATCTTTGCCCTGCCTCTCAAGATGGAACTCATTTGGACTGCATGAAAATTATAGCCAAACTCTGAGATGTATTGTGAAACTCGCAGTCGGAGTAAAAAGCCACATTTTAATAAAGACAAAGGCCTCGCTCGCAGAGCATCATTTGTTCTTGTCAGTACTCGTGCCAGCTCAGTCCGATATGAAAGAGAAGTTGTAACCTTTTAAATTAATACCACCGGCTGCACAAACACAAGAGACGAATGGTTTAGACAGAAAATGAAACATTTTAATCCATCAATCAACTCCATTTACAAAAGTATATCCCATTTTATATACAGTATGTACAGACATGTATTAACAACTATCATTTCTCTACATGGATTCATTCATAAGGTAACTAAACAATAGCGCTGTAACAAAACATATCACTGATATTCTGCAGGGATGTTGTAGTGCAAATGCGCGCAAAATATATAGTGCTGTTGCTCTGTGAACACCTTATAACTCCAGTTTTAGTGGATTTTCTTTACTTTGCATAGATACTTTTATACTTGTGTTGAACATTTGCATCATCTTTTATTTTCTTAAAAATGTTAATATATTCAAATGAATTAAAAAAGGCCAACAAAGCCCCAGAACAAAACATTTCAAATAGCTATTTTAGCGTTTTTTGTTTTTTTGGAGATACAAGATTATCATTCAACAGCACTTAGTATACATCAACACAGTGTCCTTCCTCACTTTAAAGAGAGATCCCGTCTTTGCCGGTACAAAATGGCGACTACAAATAGAAACTTCTCTCTGATGAGAACATTTGGTTCATCGATCTCTGCGCAGAATTAAAGTAAAGGGCAGCAGAAGTTGTCTTATTTGGTTCATTTGAATACAGACATCTGTGAAAGTGAACAAAAGTCACTAAAGGGGCGTCCTCAACTTTTACCAGCCCTCTAAACAGAGGCAAAACATAGGCTTTTAAATTACTGTGTCAATCCCACGTCAGGCAGGATGAACAGGCAGTGTGATTCTGGGCTAACGTGACTGCTGCTTTTTGGTTACGCATTGGGGGGGTTGGGGGTGGGTGCTGGTGACTGTGCAGTTATCCGTTCTGTCCAGCAGATGGAGCCTCTCCAAGTCTGACACTTCCCAGGAAAGTGGTGTGGTTGGTCATATTGATGAGTGTGTACTCATGAGCTATGCGTATATAGATCTTTTGGCCGGCGCGGAGTGGGCTCACACCAGCCGTGTAGCAGGTGTTGAATTTGCGCTGGCCCGTCTCAATGCTGCAAGTACAGCGGAGGAATGGGCTGGAGTCCACCATCACATCATAGCTGGCAATGTCAGTGAAGTTGAGGTAGTACACCTGGTAAATGGGGCGGGGAGGGGATGGAGGAGGGGGGGCATACAAATCACAAGACTTTAAAGTGTGTACGACTCCACATGATAATTTCAGGGGTTATTTAAAGCTGAAACAGCTGCAATATTAAAGAAGCCAGCATGAATATGAGTTATGAAGCTTCACATTTAGCCACAGGGAAAGGGCAAAAGAAATACATCTTACATTAAAAAGGTAACATGTATATGCTTAAACAAAGCAGACAGGTCAACTCTGTCATTCTTGAGCTTAGCTTTAGAACGACTGCCAGCTCTTTTGACTATCAACTGTAAATTTAAAGAGTTACGTCAAGGACCGTACTCACTTCTACCTGACTATATATGAAGTAGACACCGTCCAACAGCACCTCTAGCTGCCCAGTGCGAGAGTGCATTTTAAACACGCGGTGATGGATGGACACCATCTTCCAATTCTTAAGGATGCCTTGAGACAGATCTAAACATGTCACAACAAACACACAAAGAGGGTCAACATAAACAGCTTTCAGCAGAGCTTAACTGCAACCAGAGCTCAGCATTGACACACAGTATAAACCTGCTAATGATGCTTACCTGTGATGTGATGAAGGATAATCAGAATCAGTTAGCATGCAACATGAGTATGAGTTACCATTCCAGATTGTAAAACGGCTATAGGATAACTTTAGGATGTCTATAATCCTACACAGTGCTATGGGTAAAAACTGGTAGTAACATTTACCCTGGATAGAAAATCCTTGGTGAGCACAGAAATACTTAAAAATGACCAAATCTGGCATGCTGGATCTCAAGTATAAACATTCACTGCATGTCAACAATCTACTGTGTTTATATTTTTTCTCTTGTAATTCTGAGGTTTAGCAGGCACGTCTATTAGCACACATCCAGAACTCTGTGTTTAACCAATGGCAGGGATTATGCATGCTTTTTTGTTCTGTGTGACTATAAATGAGCGTAGACGGAGCACCCACCTTCTCTGACTTGGATCGTAGTTTCCTGCCCCTGCAAGTGAACCACTGCTGGCTGGAAGACAAAAGATCTCTGGTGACTAATCCAAATTCACGTAAAACAGGAGAACAGCTGTTTCACCAGAAGCTGCGACTGGGAGAAAATTGTATGTAAAATTTTAAAAAGGTGACATACTCTTACCTGGAATTCCTTTGTTTTGCCCTTGTCAGGAACCCCTGCAAGAGCAAGAGGGAGACGTGTTCAAATTCTGGCCTCTGCACTGCTGAGGTGAGAGGATGATTAAAAGAAAACAAACTCTGGCATAGTTTAAAGATAGATCATTTCTGCTCCACACAATGTTTGACATCCTGCACCAGAAACTCTCACAGTGCAAGCAATGAGTGAATCAATTTTGACAACTTGAGCCCCATTCTGCTGTGGGAAAGTGTCTGGATACAGGAAATAACTGTAATCTAAGAAAAGGATCTCTCTGCTCGTTTTCAAGCTCTCTGGCTCGAGTATTGCTTATTGAGGAGGATTCGATGCAAGTTATATACCTGCTGGACCTTGAGCGCCTGGCGGTCCTTGTGGCCCAGGAGGTCCTGGAGGCCCTGCAGGTCCCACAACATTGCTTCCTGGAATACCTGGGATTCCAGGGATACCCGGTGGCCCCTGTGGACCTGGGGGACCAGGAGGGCCAGGTGGTCCTGGCACAGGCCTTTTTTTCACTGTGGAGAAAGATGGAATAAACGGTTAGCACTCAAGTTAGTTTTAATTATAAATCACCACAAATCACTAATTTGCCCCTGCAGCAACTGTGCAGATTGTAACTGCTGATATTAAAAAAGCTACGGAGGCAAGTATTACATTTACATAGATACTGAAAGCTTGTCGCCCACTTTGAGTTAAGGCGGTTTTTGGATGACTTCTCAAGTGCATTTGTAGAAACTTGCAGCAGATAACAGTCAAATGAATGACCATAATAACAGAAACGTATGCCGGATTTTGTCATACCTCTTTTTTTCTCTTTCCTTTTTTCCTTTCCAGTTGATTCTGAAAGAAACCGAAGCAGCGTGATTAAGCTTCAAATGCCCTCTTCAACAATTATCATCTCAAATGACACATCGAGCATCCAGATCATTCCATGTAGGTATCCTAAATAGGCTGAAATAACAGATTGAGATGGTGTGCACTGAACACTAGAGTGGAGGTATGTCAGTCTGTGGTATCTTGTAGTGTAGTAATTTGTAAGTGTGGTTTCACCTCCTCTGTATGAACAAGTGCCTTAAGCATTCACAGGCAGTGGAACTGGAGAAGATCATTAGAGAGATACTTTATCCTGCCAAAATCCTTTTCTTTGAATTAAGCCCAGATGGAGAATGCAGATGAAAGTGTGTGTGTGCATGTGTGTTTGCGTGTCTCCTCCTTTACAACCATGTGTATGGATGTGCATGCACGGATGTTGGTGGGGCATCTATGTCAGTGCTTGAAAGCACTCTCAGTGTTTGCATCTGCAAGAGGGTGTGTGCGCGCACACGTATATGTGCCGCGCACAGCTGAAGAATCCTTTTCAAAAAGCTGTCTCGGTTGCTCTTGTGTTTACCATGTCATTATAACTACAAAGGCCATTTAACCTTAAACCCTCACAGTTTGAGTCCCCCCTCAAACATATGGCCAGTGTTTCTCCTCTGGCTAAATGACTGGATGCATCCGCATAGATTTCTCTTAACGAGCAGCCCTATCTGGAATCTGGTGCCCGTTAGGAGTGCCGAGGACGCACACACGTGCGCACATGTGCAAACACAGGACACACACACACACACACACACACACATCTAAGGCTGAGATTACAAAAGCCTTTGTCTGTGCGCTTAAGAGCAGAGGAGAGACCTGGGAATGATTAGTGTTTAGAGGCTCGGGACTTTACTGATTTATGTATAAAGTCTCGAAGGTGAGTTTTTTTCTTCTAATTTAAACACAATCACTAAACTTGCCCCCAAGTATTCAGTGTCACGAGACAGACATTGGAATGCCTTGTGATCGTGCTGCACTTGTTGCACTCAGACGTGAAACTTCAAAGGCTTCCCTCCCTTTTCTTTCTCCTTTTTTTATTTGCATAGTGCAGATTCTAAACAAAAAGAAAAAAAAAAAACAAACTACAAAAGCAAATTCAGACATACCGGCCACATGATTTACCACGGAGCTATTGATTAGCATAAATCAATTCAGCAGAATTAATGAAAGCTATGCTCACGCATGGTTGCCGGGTTCTCGAAAATGACTCACAAAGTCAGTATGCTTTTTGTCATCTGCTGCGATATTAATGTCACTGATAACACAGCTGGACTCCAAAGCACATAACTGCTTTGCTGACAGCTTCAAACAATAAGAAAAATAAAAAATAATTACATTAAATTTAAAAAAAATTGGTGGACCTAATGTTATTTTTAGTGGAGGGGCGGGCGATTGGGGGGGACCCGGGCTTTGTTGTCTGTTTCAAATTGGTGCAGCCCTCCCAAACTCCTTGTTGTCCTTGTTTGCCATCCAAGTAATAATCAATCCCATTCCATTGACTCTCTCGCTCTATAAACACGGCAACATTATGCGGTGGCGCTGCTTTGTTAAGTAAGCACAAATCAATAAAACATCAATTCCACACACACACACACACACACAAAGAAAGAAAGTGAGAAACCATTAGCAAACAGTTTTCAAAATTTAAGACCTCTAAGCCTACCATAAGCCAGTTAATTACACTGAATTGAGTCCCGTTCAAGCAAATGCGTGTTACAGAAAACATTGCTCAACAGTTGACTCGCTAGTTGCCAAGTACATATCCAGAAAACAAACTGATGCAGGTGCAACCAGAGAGCTAAAGTTAGTTTCTTTTTTTTATGATTAATGGAAAATAGATGATGTGCTTGAAAAAACCCCAACAAAAACAAAAAACAAAACAGAAGACCAACTTAGGAGGCAAAAAACAGTCTTGTGTATCAAGGCGTAAAGATCAAAGAGACAATAGTATTAAAGGATGTCAAATGCTCATAACACACGCAAAAAAAGGGCTGCACCTGTTTCTGGCTCCTTGCCGGGGCTTCTTTTCGCTCGCTGAGTTATGCCCCTGTTATCCTCTGTGCCGTGGAAGTCAGCTTTTCTGTACAGTAACTTCTCCTGGTGGGACACAAAGAAAAATATCATTAAAGACGGAAAATTACGCACGGAAAAAGGTGCCACATCTTTTGAGCACGCTGCGCCTATTGTTACCAGCTGCTGCCACCTTAGATGAATTCGGTGAACCCAACACAAAAGGGCTGAATGCTACAAAGTTTTTGAGAGCGAAACTCTTGCTACAAGTGGCCTTTTCTATTCTTGGGGGGTATAATGTTTGCACAGACACAACTTGGGGCAGTTGAAAAGATGCGAGACTCTGTCAGCCAGCACATTCACATGCGGCCAAGTCATTGTCTGTCCCATTTGGGCTGTAACGCATCCTGTAACCCAAGTCACTTTTGTCTGAGTTTCTGACGTTTGAGACAGTCACCTGGACACGACTGCTTCTAAAATTCACCTTTTTATACAAAAGGAGGACATGAACTGCGGTTAATCTGAGAGCAATACCCATTCATATGGCACCTGGTCCCAGCCCCATTCAGTGTTGGCATGAATAAGCTACAAAAAAATTGTCAAAGGAAAAGGATCTGATGTAGCTGGTCTGGTCTGAGCTCATCCCTAAAAACAGGGGAAGTTGCACTACAGCGGCGGATTGTTCCCATGGGCAAGTGAGCGGCGGGACAAACCGCACGTTTGTTCATCTGGGACTGGTTCTGGTCGACCTACATTCACATGAACTCTGTAGGACGCACTGACCCGACTGTAAGACATTCGAGACGTGTCTGGTGCTGACAAGGCAATGTTTCGTGCTAAGGATTTAGAGTTTAAAATATGGATTGCTCCAAGTCGCTTTCTGTTTGAACAGCCAGTTTGTGATCACATCTTTGGAGGATTCCCAGAAAACAAAAAACAACAACAAAAAAAAAAAAAAAAAAAAAAAAAACCTCAAAAACTGGCACTGAAAACACAAACGAGACCACCCAAAGCCAACTCTTTTCATCAGGCCTCGCAGTAAACGAGACAGCTTTTTGGTCACACTTTGGGGTGTCAGCATAAATAAAAGGTAATAGCCCGAGACATTAAGGCTCTCCATTGCTGACAACCAGACAGCTTGTAGAGAGCTGGACATCTGCTCGGTGTTTGGATAACTGACATCTACCAAAGCAGTGACGCATGCGGCACCTTAGCACGGATCAAAAGATAATAAATAACCACGTATCGGCTCGCCTTACTGCTTAGAAACAAAGCAGACAAGCTTACCGACAGACACTTTGGCCTTCCTTGGGGGGCCTACCCCAGTAGTGCCCAGGATGATATATTCCCTGTTTCCATCTGTGACACTCGAGTAAACATCGTTATTAAGTCGCGATGACAAGTAAGCTCCTTCTCCTGAAAGCAGCGTGAACTCCCAGGGTCTTTTTGTGGGCCTTTACAAGGCAGAGCCGCTGCAAAACACGAAAAGAAGTTATGGTTCGAATTTCTTCTATACCTCGTCTCAGATGTGGGAACCCTCCTTTTTCCCCCCCTCTGGATGGGGGATGAGATGTATCATGTCAAACACCTGACGCCGACTGTGTTAGGCAAGTTCGACGCAGTTAGCATCTACATCCCTGACCAGCTGCCAGCTGTGTCTGACCTTACGAGCACGGGAATTCCAGCTTGATGGAGGACTGTGTGTTGGAACAGTTTATCGGCGCGCAGACCTCCAGATGTTCCTGCGAGCGGCAACGTTTGCTGTTCATTTGGTGCGCAGGTGCCTCCACATCTCCTCTCCAGCTGTTGGCAGTACCGGGGGGGGGGGGGGACGCCCCCCGCTTTTACCTCTCAAAGGATTTGTGGTGTATATTCAGCCATATGGCGTTACACTTTCTTCTGTTCTGACAGCCAAACACGATTCAACAGCCAATTTCTGGCCCGAGATTAAGCCCCTGCAGAACGACAGAAGACAAACAAGCAGTCTACGGGGCTACTACCAAACTGGTGCGCCTCGTACTTTAGATGAAGGCAACAAAGTGATTTTTTTTTCTTCTTCTCCTTCCATTATATGACTATGAGAAATGGTTTTTCGCCCTTTTTTGCTTCATTTCACTTCATTACAACATTTACAGCCTTCGTACCCTTCAAAGGCACGCAGAGTTACAGTAAATCAGGATGACAATGTGTTGGTATGTATGCCAAGTGCCAACTATTGAGTAAACCATTCTTTTTCAGCGCATGGGGAGAAAAAAATGCTATTAATTAGAGGGCTTTCAAATCTTCAAAGAGTGGGGGTTGCTGTTGCGCGCAGATTCCCTGTTGCTTCGTGAGGATATGACTAAAATTCAATCACCCCAGGGATGTGTAATTTTGGGATAACAAGACTCCTTTTTTGCCTTATTAACACTTACTATTACAAACTGCATATATTCTTACCAGTTAGCCTCAAAAGGTCCTTAACATTTGCAGCATTTCAAGTGTAATGCAAGAAATAAAATGCTGCAGGTCTCCAGTAGCATTTTTTACTCACAGTTTTCCACAAATACAGACTTTCTGGCTGCAGCGGTGTCTGTAAATCTTGCAAAGTCAATAACAGTTAGTGGCCGCTAAGTTGTAGTTGAAAATTTGATGTTGCAAAGCTTGAGAAGGTGAAACTGAGGGCTGTTTGGGTGTGGTTGCGATTTACATGCCCATCACTGGCTGAATGGGCATTACCAAGTTCAGTGGCATGCATACTCCTGAGAGCTGATTACACCTAATATTCCTGTGATGTGCACTCCTGGGTCCGACAGCGACTTTGCGTTTTCTTCTTAAATATCACTTAAAGAAAAGTATCCTCCCCATAGCCCGTATCAGAGCCCGCTCTTTGAAAGGCCATGTGTTTTTAACCATAACTTGGGTAATTTAATAACGCTATGCATAGATTGTCATCTGAAAATCTGTGGAGCTCAACCTAAGGGAAATGTAGCCTGTCAGCAGCCAATCACTTTTCAAATTGTTGCAACACTCGCTGGCAAACCTACTCCTTGTTGAGTGCTGAGAAGGCCTTGAGAATTTATTATTATGGTGGATGTTTGCAACTCTGGACTCAATCTTTACTGGGCGTCTACGCCATCTGTCTGTCAAGACGATTCAAGCTTATACGGAGCAAATGCTCGCAGCCTCGCCATTTCTGATGTTTCTGCTCTCACGACTTGTGCTTTTATGTCTGCGCTGATTGATCCCTGATATGTTGGCCTGCTCTCAGCGCATGTACGATACTGCTGTTTTAACCAATTATGCAGCGGTCACAATTAAAGTAGATGTGGGTGACAGCCCACCCGGACGCCCCAGAGCTTGTACGCTGCTGAGGACTTTGCGTCCCATCAAACTGACTTTTTTAATAGCCGTTAACTAGACTCCAGATGTTTTAGCATCTGTTCTTCGGGGGGACTTTAAAGGCATACATCAGAGAGGAAAATTATTTCATATAATAGCTATAAGAAAAGTGTTAGGCTCAAGAGTAAAACGCTCTCTGAGCTTACGTTTTGAAATGTTTCTGTGGACGTTTATTACATTTCACTCGCTGCTGTAAGGTGAACGAGGGTCAGGCTGACTGAGGGAGACACTTGCTCTCGCTCGCCTTACATCACATTTGTGGCACAGATTTTAGCGCCCGCCCCCCACACACACACACACACACACACACCTGGGAAGGGGATTTTTTACTGTTGGGAACTATGCGGGGTCTGCTGGACAGCTGGGATTTACTGCCTTGCTCACGGGCATACCCACTGCGACTGGTGAGGTGACGACTGTTTGTTCACTTTGTGGGCCCAGATCATAAATGAACAGATCATCGACTCATTAAGAAGCAACTAGAAAGATCTGAAAAAAGTGAGAGCTTTTAAATTAGTGCTCAAAATTTAACTGTTTCCAAAGAAACTAAATGAATTTCTGTTACCAAACATTTCATATTTCCACTTGTGGTTTGACTGCATAGTTTAGATCTCTTAAGACCTATAAACAGTGCCAGCTTTGTCTGCAAAACAATATTGTTTCCAATACTGTGCTTACATCTGAGAAAATGAAGATTATAAAATGTTTTTTTTTTGTAAAACATCCAAGGAGACACAAATAGTCCCACACACAGTCTGAACTCAGTTTGATAGCTTTTGGTTATTTTCTTTTTTCGCCTCGAATCACCTCACGGGCCTTTCCTCCCCTGTTCAGGGAGAGATTCTGGAAACCGATTACACACTTGTAGTATCACGGCTTGTACAGCCAAGATTCTTATCTGGAAGTTTTAGCCACGATCATGACCTTCAGATCAGGTGTGCATCTGCAAAAAGAAACTGCAAAGAGAAGGCCAAGCCTCAGTAATAACTCTACTTGTGTTTTCTTTCAGTGGAAAAAATGACAAGTGTTGGCAAGATTAAACATTCAAGAAAAAAAAAAAACTAACTTAAGAAGGAAAAAGAAAAGAATAAATATATTTATATCATTTAAAACTAGTTTAGTGCTAAGACAGCTGATTTTCACTTCAAACAACTTTATTCTTCCTTGATATCATGACTTCAACTAACCAAAAATATTTTAAAAAATAAAATCATCTTTTCATTAATTCATTGTGGCAAAATTTGCTCCTGACACAACAACTGCAGTGGGACCTATCAGAAAGACTCTCTGTCGCTATCCCACAGGTGTGTAGCTGACATCAACATTAAGGCTGACTTCAAAGACAGGTGTGGTTATGCTCATATGTATGAAGTATTACGTACTAACGCCGCAACCACTCTGTACCTGGGCGTCACGGTTGGTGTGATGCCAATGCGTTGGCGCTCTCTAGTTTTGTTTGACACTGACCAGCCCTGCTGAATGGCCGGATGTTAAGGTTGCTTTTACATGCCGACAGACCACACCGCTTGGGTTTTTCAAGACACAATTCGACCACAAAACAGGTCCATCTGAACGGAGGCTGCAGCACTGCACTTACGTGACAACAGAGCCTCGCTGTATCATATATGCTGTTGGAAAGCTGGCCTGTGTTGGTATGGACCTGACGTTACTGTACTTTGCTTTAGCTTTCTCAAGGCATCTCATGTTTTTGGTTATACTTGTCTGTATATACCTGGCCATCACGTGAAATTTCCCCAATGCTCCTGAAGTGCCTTTGATGAAGAGCTGTGTGAAAAATCCAATAAACAATTTTAACCCTCCCCCCCCAAAAAAAAAGAAGAAGAAGAAAGATCCTTCAAAGGAAATGCCAGAAAAGCTAACAAGTGTGGCTGCTGCGTCTAAATGCCACATGCTCCTGTTTCTCCAACTATGTAAACTGTGGGATGTGTAATCAGAGTTGTTTAATGCAGACATCTGGCAAGGACAGCATCACAGCACTGTTAAATATTTACAGCTGGGCCACAGTCTTTCACCTCATGAAGCGTCACCATCTGGGCCAAATACCAGGCCCATCTCACTCGGCTTTAACTGGGGGAAACCACTACTATCTAAAATAAGCTTAGCAAAGAGGACACACAGAGGACTAAATTAATAGGCTGAGCTCATGAAAGGAAAATGTTAACGGAGCAAATCCAAATATGAGCAATGGATCTCATTAATCTTTCCTACTGAGGAATAAATGCGCCCATCCTGGATAACTTGAATTCCTCTGGGTGGTTATCCAGCTGACAGCTCTGCACAACTAAATGTCCAGCCAATGCCCCCCCCCAGAATATCATTTTCTCTGTTAAAAGGTTACACAACTGCTGACATATGAGCTAATTGAGCAAGTTGAGAGGTGCACTCGGGCCTTTTGTGCTGATGAAATTAGGGAGGTAGTGTGTGTGTGTGTGTGTGGTGGTGTTGTGGTGGTCTTAGTGGTTAGTGGGTTGTTGCCAAAAGCCACAGACAACACAAATGACCGTTCAGTCAGCCCTGCTGCCAAGGAAGAAAACACACACAAGAAGTGGGGCTGGCTTTGCTCCAAGTACCAAGTACCCTCATCTAAAGTCCTGATGAATTTACATCAGCCCTTGGGCTTTGCACCTGCTGGTGATCCAGTTAATTTTCTGTCCACCTGCTCCAGCACATAGCCTGACCTGCCTCTGCGATTCCAGCTGGGCAGGTTGCCTAAGTTCTGAGTACTGGACTTCTGTCTGCTCTGGGACCGAGTCAAATTGGGTTAAAATGTGGTTTTACTTAATAAATAATGCGCCCATTATATTAATCAATGAGTTTACTGAAAGTTATTTTCCCCCCACAAAAAATAAAATAAATAAATGAAAGGATTTTCTTTACTCAACAAAGGCAAAAATCGGAACCACAACTGCCCTAATTCTTTTTCAACTTATGCCCACCCTGGATGTGTTTACCTGAACCAGAGACACTGGCCAGGTGACAAGATTTAAAGCCTACACCTTTTAGCGCGTCTCAGTCCAGAAAGGCGGAATGACGCACACGGGGGCGCAAATCCATCCTTTCAAAAACAACCCCCCCCCCCCAAAAAAAACATACTTGTCTGGAAACTGAGCTGATAAAACGCCGTGACAGGCTACTGTAAAAGAAGTTGCCCAGAAACATGCCGTAACAGCGCAGACACAAAACCTGACACCGTGTTACCGGGAACAGGAGGACCGAGCGGAGGTGAATGAACACGAACAGCCTCCGCGTGAGGAATGACAACAATGTCGCCTTAAAGAAGCTCCGGTGTCTCTTCATTAAGTCTTTGGGTTTTTTTTACCTCACGACTCTCTCCTCCGCGGCTGCTGCCGGAGTCCAGTCGGACTGGGTGGCTGAGCGAGAGCACCTCCGCCGGGTCAGCCAGGTCACTCCCCGCCAGTGTCATCACTGAGTCCCGCTTCTGGTGAATAATTTCCCTTTTGACCTGGGACCGAAGGTCCAAATAGCAGACGAGGGTGACAGCGTGAAGGGTCAGCGACAGCAGGAATAATCCCAGGAACACAACGCTGCTGCTCCGACTCCTGCACTTCTTGCTGCACGTGCACGGAGCCGCTATGGGCATCACTTTGTCCGGGAAATCCTCCGCGGATGAACCATCGCGTGCCATTATCGGACGGAGGGGCGAGTCATATGCTCCTTATCTCGGCATAATCGGCTCGTCTGTCTCGCGCGGGCCGCGGCTATTCATTTACATGGAGACTCATAGGTGCAGCTGCAGCAGGTCGGTGCAAACTTCTCGGAGTATCTGTAGTAACAATGGAAACCCGCCCACCTCTCCTGTGATTGGTCCGGCGCAATTAGCAGCCCAGAGGTTGGGGGGGTGGATGCAGTAGGTGCAGTGGTTGAGCGACACCCGATGGAGAGAAGGAGCTACTGCAACGCCTCTGAGACAAAGATGTGAGAATTTCTTCCCCCGCTCTTTTCTTATGTTTGTTGTTCAGTGTTGTGTGATTATTTCATGGACTTCTTTCAGTGATTTATTATATCTTACCCGAGTGTGAATAGGAAAAGGGGGGTTGTCACCGGTGTAATGTATAATGTTTATATGTGTGCTTTTTTAAAAATGTGTTTTAGGGGTTTGGACATGCAATTTTTCACTGGCCTGCTTTGTTTGGCACTTGGTTTTGTTATGTGGGTGGCACATGAAGTGGTGGTCCTGTGTGAAGAACTGATTCAGAAAATACTGCCCGGTATTGTTATTGAAAGAGAACAAGCGGTTGATGGTTACACTGCAATCATCAAAGAGTGGAAAAGTAGTACAAATTATGTTCTTAAACATTCTACAAATTATCTGATTATAGGTTAGTGCATCTGAACTCTGTCAGGCTCAACATTATGATAGTGGGCCTGGAAGGGAGTCGGTGTCACGGTGAGGTCAGCGTCACTTTGTGTACAACACCATCAAATAATCTAAACATGTGTCATTCGGCTGGATCCGGGGAACGGTTTGACATTTGTGTTACAAAAATGCCCGCTGAGAACAATGCTTTAACTAGGCTGAATGTGGGCTTTGTGGTTTGCACATTTTCAAAATCCAAACTCGACACTTTGATCTCCAAGAACCAGAGGTAGCCTGTGAATCTGGCCGTCTTCGGGCCCCAGGATGATGAAACCTAAGCAGGGCAGAGACTCGGAGGGCTGATAGATCACCTCGTTAGATTAGTTTTCCGGGCAACTGCTGCCAAACATCTGTCTTTATTTCACTGGGGCAAACCCTGACATTTGTGTGCACTTGACCTATATGGAGGTAAACTTTTTCAGGCTGGGAGACTCATACTAGGTCTCACTCGATATTACAGGCTAAATAATGATGAAAAGTGGCTTTTGGAATTTCAATGAATGGTATTTCATCACTGTGTACTCTCTCTATATATATTACTGTGAAGTTTACCACTGTACAAATATAAGAATCTATTATTGTATTTCTTTTGGTTCAGCCAATTCCCACTGCCACTATATCATCACGTTTTTCCCCCCATGCACAATTAGTTTCCTTTCACCAGCTCATCTAGAGGAGAAAAAAAAGTGATTCTAGTCAGCTGCCACTGAAGGGCAGCATTGCCAAGCCATAAATCAATAACGCTGCATTCCAGTGCCCTCATAAAGTTGAACTAAAAAAAACAAAACAAGAAACAAACAAACAAAAAAAACCCAGCGCCATGCAAGTTGCATATTAACATGTAAATACATCTAGCCTCATATAGCATCTCTGAGATTGTGTCCTCAGCATCATCCCCTTTCTCTCCTGAGAAGTCATTTCCTCATTGTTAGCATACGATAGTGAAATTGAAGAGAGAAAGATTTTCAAAGTAACCCTCATAGGAGCTGTGACTGAGGGCTCAGCCTAAGCACGTTTGCCACGCTTCTCATCCAAGCAGCACGCACAATGACGTTTAGAAGCAGATGATTTAGGACTGGAATAGTTAAGGGCACGCACTTCCTGTATTTTCAGACAAATGGTCACATTTTAAAATGTTTTTTTATTCTATATAAATGTATATGAAGGATTCCCCTAGGTTATTTATTGCATTATTTAAAAACTAAACAAAAAAACTTATTTGCTTTTGAGGAGGCCTTAGCTAAAGGTCAAACTCAACTCAATGCGCCTATCTTCTATCCCCTGCCTTGTTTCAGACAACACAACTCAACATTAAAGCCTGTGACAAATGAAACCAGTTTTATCGTGATTGGGTTTTTTGGCATTGAAAAGAGCAGGAGTAATTCGTATAACGTCCCCCGGGCTTCAATGCGGCATTCATAAATGGTGTGCCACTCTATCCTCTCTGAGCTTATAACAAGATTTAGAGGCTTTCCCTGCCAGATGATAGAGTTTTGCAGAAGGAATAGGCGCTCTTATATTTTGCCACGGAGAGTTGAGCAGTTGGGCTGTGGCTCTGGGAGGCTGCTGGAAGATGCTCTTGGCTGAAGAGTTCCTCTCTAGTCCTCTGATAACAACGCAAATTCAAATCAACTTTCATTTGCTATTAGGAGGACTCAAATTTGAGCTAAAACGATTCAAACCCAGCAGTATAATGCCACTACACGCGTAAATTGTTTTGGACCTCTCCACCACGTACATCACCTTCTCAGGAAGGACTTGCTGTTTCTGCACATTGAATTGCAGAGGTGTAACCTTGACTAATTGATATACTGTGACATTTGATTTCCTACCTATAAATCTCCAGTAAATTGGACCATCTCTGCTATTTCCCCGGACAATGATTCATCCACTCACATTGTGGGTGTCTATCTTAAGAGTCCTTATCAAGATTGGAGCTCTCTCTCTCTCTCTTGCTCTCTGGTCTTTTTGTACTGTGCTGCTTTTGTTCCTTTACCTTTCTCTCTTTTTCCTTTTCTTTCTGTTTGCTGACTGCTGTGTGCAGTTCAGTACCAATCCGGTGTGAGTAACTTAATTGATTTTTTTTTTTATTCCACAAAGAATCGCTTGAGTTTAGTGGCCTTTTTAGCATGCAAAATGCTGTTTTGTGTCTTTTCTCAAGGCAATGGTGTTCAGGGGAAACGATGCTATTTGGACTTATTCATTAACAGGACTTGCTTTTTTATTGTTTCGTAGCATTTCACCTTTATTAAATGTGGACAGAGTAGATAAAGACAGGAAACACAGACTGAGAAAGGAGAGTATGGCATGCAACAAAGGACATATACAGCAAAGTAGTAGTATTAACAGAAATTCACTAACTCTTTTAATAGATATTTATTACATATGAAGTAATCCAGACAACAACATCAACAAAAAAACCGCATAAACTGTACAGTAAAAGCTGTCACATTAAAATCTAAAAACATTCTAAAAATGCTGCACTCTCCCTAAAAATAGACTTTTACAAATAAAAAATGAAGATTAGGATATGCAATCCAACTCTCCTAGAATATTAAATTATTAGAAATTATTTTACATTAACCAATCATCATTGGTTGATTAGTCTTTTTATAGCAATTCATGATGTAGTTTTATATGCTGTTTGATATCAAACATGATCTTAAACAGTATTTTTGAAAAAGAAGATGAGAACAGCATAAAAAGAAACTATTTAAAAAATACTTCATATAATCTATGTACACTACTGTGCAAAAGTATTGAGTCACCCCCCGTTTCTTTATATTTTGCTTCAGAGGATTTTTAATCTTTAGTGGTATTGAGGAATAGTTCAGTGGCAAAAGTTTGTTTTGTCTTTTTTTGACATTTCCACTCATTTTTAGTCCAGTCCTTGTATCTGACCATTTTCAGATAAATGTTTTTTAAACTACATAACACAGAATCATGAATCATTAAGCATAAAAGAGGCACATAACGTAAGGAATGAGCCAGTGGTGTGTCTAACCTTGCCAGAAAACTTATCAAATAACCAATTTTAACCTCCTAGGACCTGGCGTCCACATATGTGGACATCACATTTTGGGTTATTTAGACTAAAATACTCAATTTTGCTCTACATGGGCCTGATATCCACTTACGAGGACATTATACTGCCACTGTTCTATCAAAATTTGAAACGAATATCCTCATATGTGGCTCTTATTTTTCTTAAAAACAAAATAAGGTTAAAAAAAAATCTGATAATTCTTTGTTTTTACATTCATCGGGCCCCAATATGCCCAAATATAAAGAGAAATTAAAAATGCATGTCGTGGAAGAGTTCGGGTCTTAGGAGGTTAAATGGTATCTTTAGATACTTTCTAACTAGCAGCCTTTCTCAAAATATTATTGTTTTTGTACAAATTTCTTTAGTTGAATCCATGAAAAATACCAGTTTCACAGGTATAAAATAGTATTTTTGCACCAACAAGGTGATGCTCGAAGAACTAAAAACTATCTTTAAAAAGGAAACTGGACCAATGGACTGGACCAAATGAAGAATTATCAGCACTATAAAACTACCGGTATATAAATGATCTATAAAACATATATTTAAGAAAAGGAAAAATCCAGCAAAACCCTGACACAAGACTAAGAATGCCTCTGACCATTAAGGTGATCCAACTGCTGTTCACCAAAATCTCATCAGAATTGGTCTCAGTGGAAGGGTGGCTGTCAAGAAGCCATTCATAATGAAGGAAAGCAAGGAGAAAAGGTTGAGGTATGCCAAATTACACAAGAACTGGACTGGGAAAATCAGTATCAACGAGTCTTATGGAATCCAAAGGAGGTCAGAAAAGAGACACAACATGAGGGTCTAGATTCATCTGTAAAACACGTTGGAGGCTCATGGTCATGGTTTCCAAATCGATTGAATTATGAGCACAATAATATTTTGATCCACCATTCAGTACCATCTGGAAAGTGTCTTATAGGCAGTGGCTTCATTTTCCAGCATGACAACGATCCCTAATACATTACCAGTGCAGTCAAAGCATACTTGGATAGAAAAATGTTTAGTGCACCACTATCAGGATACATGGATTGTCCTCCCCAGAGGTTGCACCTCAACATTAATGAAGCAGTGTGGGATCATCTTGAGAGAAAACTGACCAGAAGTCAAAGAAGAGCTTTGAATGTCCTTCAAGAAGCCTGGAGAACTATTCCTGAAGATTACTTAAGAAAGTTCAGCCTGTGTTGAAGAATAAACACAGTCATATCAAATTATTGACTTTTAAGCTTGTTAGAATTCTACAAACTCTTTCCTAGCAAAAGACAAAGAAATGAGTGGTGGCTCAAGACTTGCACAATACTGTAGTTTATAGCTCTCATTTATTTCTTTGGACACTTAAAGGGAAGTAGAGCAAGCTGTGAACACAAGGCTGACACATTAAAAAGTTCACCATTCGAATTCATTAGGAATCCTGTTTCTTTCCAGCTTAGCTCAAGTTTTCATCTCTCCCAATG